ATCCTCTATCAAATTTTCATTAATTAAGATGTACATATTTTTACATTTTAAGTTCAATAACATTTATTTTACACCAGTGTGCAAAAGTTGTGATTTGTTGTGTCTCAAATTATAGTATTGAGATTTATTATTATACACACACGCACGCACGCACGCACGCACGCACGCACGCACGCATATATATAAAATTCGGCCGATAAGAGATAACAGTTGAATTAGTATTAAAATTAGGTAAAGTGATAAGGTAATCTACAATAATCCATTTATATTTCTCAAGATGTAACTCTCCAATTACACTAACAATCCAACAAAGAGTTAATCAAAATAGTATACACGCACACATAAGCGCCATAAATGCTTTAACAATTACGTTTCCCAGGAACACTTTCGGAAAGAGCGTCATGTAAAATACTTAAACGTTTAATGTCATTTTGATAATTTATCATACCTAAATAAAACGTATTTTTTTTTAATTATATTTTTTACAAAATTTTTATAAAATCTTTGTGAAATGCATCACTTCTCGGAATACTAGCTGAAGACTGAAAGATATTCATCTAGTGATTATTAAGGAAATTTATGACGCTTAGTATACTCTCTTTCTCTTTTATATATATTTCTTTAATGTCTTCCAAACATGTCGACAGCATTGAGCATTCGATAATCCGTGACACTTTAACGCCTATGAAATGCATTGCGCGTGACGAAAGTTGGTTGCTGCCGATACTATAATTGGAAGACTGACTCGAGATCTGAGATATCATTGCGGTTGAGATTTTCTTCACGTAAACGTACACAAACACAAAAATAAATTACATCTCCATTTCAGTTTCGCAATTCCGATCGTTTAGCATTCGATTTTGCGGATTCGAAAATTACCCTGAGTGCATCGCTTTCATACTTGACAGAGGGAAGTCTTTTTGTTGACTGTACTTCGTTGGAAGAAGATAATATCAATTTAAGCGATCGGTAATCGTTGATTCCGTTATATTTCAACTCCGTCGCGCGGGTCATCGTTGAACACCTTGTGATTAAATTTTATATTCTTCGACGTATTTCCTCGGGGATGTCCGACTCGGACATAACCTTAGGAACGTCTTTTTCGGGACTAGGACTGGGGCTAGGACTAGGGCTAGGCGAGGAACTTGGTGATCTTGAGCTACTGGAGCTTGATCTGGAGCGTTGCTGTCGCTGCCGTTGCGTCTTGTAATCGTGTAAAGGCCCGCGAATAATTTTCAGCGTGGTCTCCAACTCGTACGCGCGATTCTTCAACGCATTGTACACGTCAATGTCAAGACCGATTTTTCGCGCTCTTCTATGAAGCACTATTAGGTGGCGTCTATTCAACACGTCCGGCAGCATGTATTCCTAAGTGAAGATAGATGAAGAAAAATCATGACTGATCGTATCGTGTTACGTCTTGCGACATTTTGCGTCGTCCATTTCTGACGATTTGCAACGTTCTGTTATGGGTTCAGCTTAGAAATACTTTTTACTCTCTAAAACCAACCTGTCGAGTCACGAGGTAATAAATAAACCACATCATAGTAGTGCCATAAGTGACGAAGTAAGTGACGGGCTCCATGATATCCCATGAGTATTCCCACCAGGTTAATCTGGCCAACGCCCCGAATTGGATAGACATCATGACTAGGAACGTCCAGATAAAAAAATTCGCCTTCTTGTAAGCGGCATTTTGTATCTCTTGCAATTTCTAGAATGATTAAGAGAACGTGAAAACTCCGCGCTCATCATTCACTTTGTATTTTTCTCTCAGTGAAGATAATTTAGCTTCCATCGTATTCTCTTAAGTAATTGAGAAAATGAGGCCGGAGATGGAGGAAGTACCGTGGAAGAAACGGCATCTTTTACCCAACCTCATTATTTCATAAGGAGGGGAAAAAAGACACGGGAAATATTTCGCAGACATTTTCTTCTTACAACAATGTTGCGTAACAATGAGCGCGATGCGTATAAAAGGGATTAGAAAAGTATCGCTGGTCGCGTGTGCGAAGTGCGACGCGAGTGTGCTAATTAGAACGCTCAAGAATATGGCAATTAAGAAAAACCATAGGTGGAATGCAGTGAGAGAAAACGGACAATGGGAGTGTGTTCGCATTTAAATTTAATTTACGCGCGATAGAAAGCCAATTCATCGGTGCGCCTTATTTAAAGTTACTATTAAATCAATTTTATCCTAACAAATATACCGTTCTTCTTTTAGTACACGCACGCGTTTGCTGCTTAATCCGTGTACCATTAAAATGGAGTAATTTCGACACAAAATTCGAAATAACTTCGACTCAAATTTAAAAAAATGCTTAGGTAACAATATATATATGTCTAAAATCAGGGTACAAGAGATCTACAAGACATTTTGAAGAAGTTTTATGTCCCGATTTAGACATGTGTGTCATGTAGGCACGATTAAAATTTGAATGAAATTATAATTTGGGGGAAAAAGTTGTCCTATTTAACGGTTTTACGTTGCAACATAGGACGAACATGCGTAGGACGAACTGTAGAAACGTATTTTACCTGTTCCATGGGTTCCAGCTGTAGTCTAATATTCTCCAGCTCGGCGATAACAGATCTTTCCATGTCGACCTGGTACTCCCGCACGTGGAATGCCTCGTACAACTGCGCAACGAGAGCTTGTACGTCTCCGAGTTTCTGTAAATCCTCCTGTGAAACCGGAAGACATACACGTCGATATTTACGGAATACGGTTCGACAAGGGAAATCCCACGTGACTCGAAATATATTACCGATAAAATATATTATAAAATATATTACGTTTGAAGAAATATCGCTAAAGAGCTTTTAGTCGATCAAGTACATTACTTACATATATTGGTGCACAAATAAAATTAATTAAATTAAATTAAATTAAAGTGTACATGTCGCAACTACGCGCTTCGCAGGGTCATATTATAGAAACATAAAGCTAATAAAAGATATCGTTTTTATTTGATAACTCACTGTCGTGCACCTTTCTTGTAACGGCGGCGAGACAATGTATTCGTTATCGTTTATCAATAATTTGAAATCCTCCTCTAAAAGCGATTCTATCGTGTTACTGGAAGCTATCCTGACCCCATCTGAAAAAAACGATTAAAACCTTTATCTTGCAGTATTATGCAAGGACTTTAATCTGATTTCTCTGAAACGTAATGAATGAATTAGCTGAAAAAAATAATTTGTACGGCGTCTTACCTAGCGACGTTATGCATGCTCGATCGATGCCACGATCCTCTGTCTTTAGCATATCTAAAAAATTGCCAACCGTGTGCGTTATTGGCTTCATGGTGAACGAGCAGTGTTCCCTCCTGGATGGAAGAGGCACCGTGATTCTGGGAAGTCCTCGATAATATGCCACGATGACATCCGAACCTGCATTAATATGTATTCATGTATCACATATTTGCTTCGCATAAAGGCACAGATATACAGAGTGTTATATCAACATATGCTGTGTTATATCAACATATATCGACCGATTGTTTCGTAAATGAAATGTATATTTTATGAATGTAATCGATTGATCACGCGTGTCTGATAGAGAAGGCAATCCAATATACTGACCTATATATGTTGATATAACACTTTGTACATAGATGTTCTCTCAGAGCATGTTCTGCATTTTATAAAGTCATTTTCTAAATAGGTCAATTCCCATAATTAATGACTTTATGAATAAAGAATGAGTACACGGAATGGTTTTGTGCTAAAATATCTAAACATTTAACTAAATACAGATCCGAAAATAATTTTACTCTAAATATTAATGTAGAGCGCTCAAACTGGTTGTCAAAATTTTGTAACATTGTTCATTATGCTTAAGCGTTCTACGTTATCTTAATTAACAAAATTATTTTTATTATATGTATGTATCTAAATTTTTAAATACTACAGTAAAATCATTCTTTCTGTAGTAATTACGTTTCACCATAATGAATTTTCGTGTAATTAGCGAACCTCGCGTAAAAGTGATTATGAAACTTTAAGCAAATATTTGTTTATAACACATTCTTGCTTTCTCCTATTTATTTTTGTTTTCTTCCTCAGATTTTCCATGTTAATAACTACTTTTCAAATCTTTAGTGTTGATAACTATTCCGTTCCTATTTTCTAAATTCCGATTTGATCGCATGTATCACGCGGACTTTGACTTAAAACGTGATAGGATTTGGATTTACACATAAGAGAAAGATGCGTGCGTGCATCGCTTCGCGGATATTTCGCGGATATTCATTGTCAAAAGTTCGGATAAGAAATGTTCTAGTTTGAAATTCCGCACTACGTACTTAAGCCTACTTTTCCACTCAACAGAATCAAACTACCGTGCAAACCAACATTTCTGACACAGAATTATTTTTTTACTTGTAAATAGTATCAACTTAAATTGTAAAATATTGGCTAATTAATATTTGAATCAAGTTATTTCTGGCAATTTGATTAAATAATATATTATAATTATTAATCATTTTATGTAATAATTAAAATTATAAAGTAGTTATAGAACGGAACATAATGTTCCGGTGAGGCACTAGAAATGTGCGAAATGCGCAATTATAAGAATATGCGTTAACATTAGTTACACACTAGATACTTGCTTTGTATTATACATATGTACGTCATACCCTGCATCGTGTACCTACGAAATAAGTCTAGAAAATATTTTTAGTTATAATAAATCGAACTGGAGACAGTCTTTTGATAAATAGTCCTATTTTTTTTTCAATTAATTGATCTCAATAATTGACGAGCAATATTACAAATGTAATTATAGAGAATAAGATAAAATTTTAAATTTGATAAGAATATGTCTTCCAATTATTGCCAATATAAAACAATGTGATAAATTCTCTATACGCTAAAATCGATTTAATAAAAAACTTAAACAACTATGGAATCGTTATGTGTCCCTCTTCAAGCCATACAACTTTTGTCTGAAACATTTTTGCTTACCGAGTTCAATTTTCGATATATTTTAGTACTTTGTTTTAGATAGGTTACCTTGTACATTTATGAATCTTCCTGGGCACCTATTATGGAAAAAGTCGGAATAAATTCCGATCTGAATTATTCAATTATTCTCTAGATTTCTATTGTATTTTCTGAGAAACTGGAATAATTCTGACCGAAATTCATTCCAACATGCTTTATGATAGATATCTAGATAGTATATTTTTACAATACTTAATGCTCCAATATGTTAAATGTAAACACTCATTGAAATTTATCATCGTCCGTAGAAACAAAATAAATTTTTGTAAAACGTTCAAATAAATCTGTTATACTTTTTTATTTTTGGCAGGTTTCCTAAGCTTTCCCGGATAAATAAGCTTTCTTTCATGAATGTATGAATTTTCAAAATGGTAACTCTAAAAATTTTAGACTCGCTTTTTTCATTCTGGTAATATCCTTAATTCATAAATATTTTTAGACATATTACACATTTTTCAAACTAGAAAAAAAAATATTTGCGGGGGTCGATAAAATGTACCGTTTCCGCGACTTTGCTCGCGTGATAATCGCACAATCGAGAGCTGGATTGTATTAACCTGGTTACGAGCCGTTGATATGAGGAAGGTATTAGAGTGTGGAGAACGGAATGGGACGAACCGCGGATCTTTGCCGTTGTAAGCAGAACGGAACCGAGCGTTAATCCGCCTGTGCTAACGATGTCTGAAAATGCATCTTTTGATGCAAAAACTGCTTTTATAGGTTCCTCAAGTTTAAATTTGTTAGTCGCTAATTCAGTAAAGTAATAAGATAAAATTAAAGACTGCACCATCTTGAAATATTAAGAAACTGCGAAGGATACAGATAGATAAAATGAGACTATATGAAAGAAAATAAAAATATTATTTGATAAAATAAACAAATTTTGAAAAATAATCTATAATCCAATATATTTACAAAAAAAAATGTTACATAAAAAAACATTTTTGACGGGAAAATGATATGAAATGTATTATATATGTCAATCTACAGTTATGATAGACATGCGAATTTCTCATATTTGACACGATAATAAAATGAAATAATGTACGAAATCGACGTTTATGATGGATAGATACGTGAAAGGATTTATCGCTTTAGATCAAATAAATCTACTGTAAATGATGAGAAGTTTATAATATTTTATAGTATTTGTAAATAATGCTTTTAGTCAATATTTCCTTAATAAAATATCATTTTTTGTCTGCAATAAAAATATTTTATATTTTAAATAAAGTTTATTTTTTTAAACAAAGAGAAAAAATATTTTATCTTTTTGCATTAATTTCATTTTAAAAGTGTCGCAATGTTACAATAATATTTGTTAAAATAATATTTGTTATAAAAATAAATGTATAAAAATGTATACAATAATATGTTGTCGTGTTTATCGTGTGTATATAAAATACAGTTATTTACAATATTATTTATACATGCGCATAAAGAACCATCGATGTACCACTTCGTTCCAATTTTGCGGTACGTAATCAGCGATTATTTGTCATCGAGAGTTTTCGTCCCGAAAGGGAAATATATAAGTATATATATATATATATATATATATATATACAGCGGTAGATAAGATTCCTCAATCATTCGAAGGTGCGATCGCCGTAGAAGTAATCAGTAGCAATTGGTAGCCGTAACTTTTCAGATGGGAATTCGGTGCCGTGTTAATTGAATGTTCCTTAGGCGAATACAGGCAACGTCCGGCAATTAGTACGCCTCTCTCCACGCAGACGATGTCCGCATGCATGGCGATGTGCATCGCTCGGCAGTAAGTTGGTACGCAGATGGAAGAGGCAAGAAATTTACCACCACCTAGCCATCCGCCTCCCTTCTTTCACCGATCACAGTGTGATGCGGTGGTGAAGTTTTCTGTGCCGCCACAGTCTACCATAAGATCCTGTTCAATTAATAAGTGGCGTGACCGTGGAACCAAGCTGACATTGCAGTTGCAGTTATTTTTTTTTTGTGACAGTATCCTGAGCTTCTTTGAGTTTCTCTTTGAAAATCGAATCTGCTCTCAGATATATTCTCTGGGGATGTACGACTGACGAGCGCCCAGGGAAATTCCCGAGGGTAGGTGTGGATATTCCATAATACAGCCGGATTGACCGTTTCGATTTATCTCGGCCTTTCCGAGAAATGATGCCGTTAGTACCTGAGTAATTGCTCAGTGAGACTCGTGCGAATCCCTAATAATAAATTGAAGGATTTAAGGGAAGGGAAGGGAAGGGAAAAACCGGAACCATAGATCATTGTGTGAACTTTACCGTCACAGTTTACTACAATATCCTGTTCAATTAATAAATAGAGCGAGAGAGTTCACTTTCGGTATAATCTTTTAAAAATTTATTCCATTCTTGCATTAAATCCAAGTTAAGTATAATTATTTCATTTAGTTTTGCGCGTTATTAAATTTAATCACAGCTGCTTTTATGAAATCTGGTTTACTTGGAATATTACACGCTCCGAATACTTAACTACAGCGGACAAATATGTGTACAGTTAAAATGAAAAGAAAACGTAATATTAACTTGTAATTTTAAATTTCTGTAAATGTGTAAATGCAGTTATGTTATTAATATGCAGCTGTGGAATTCAATAGCTGAAATATATGTAATATATATATGGAATAAATATGAAAATAAGGACGATTTAGTTCACTATAATTTTAATTTCAGCTACGTAAAGGAGTCTCTAATTAAATGTATAAGCTTTTCATAAAATAATATCTTTTAGCAATAAGATACATAAATTAAATCTTTGTAAAGCAATTCTTTTATATTTTAACTCAATTAAAAGAGTAAGGAAAATTCTATCTGGAAAATTGTAAGAAAGTCTTTCGCACACATGCATTCACTTTTTTATTCTTTTTTTTAATTACCGTATAACTTTCAACAGAAACAAATTGTGAGAAATTTACGCGCCGGTGATCGCCTAGAAAGTCTTTAAAGTCCTGACACGTGGAAACATCTTATCGAATCGGACGAAGGAAGAAATGATATTCTTGTGTAAAGCGATATAAGAATTAAATTTATGTATGAGAAATATTACCGAGCACGAAATTATTTATTATAACTTCATCGTTTTTTCAGGATCTGTAATTCGTGCATTACACACTTCGCGATAGCTGATAAAAAATTCTCGAAAATCAAACCTTTAATTTAACTGATAATTCGTATGTGATTGACATGCTGCAGTTTCACTTCCTCTTTTGATAATAATGCGGTATTATGTTTTATCAGATGTTATCTCATATATATAGTGATTACAGTCGGCGACATTTGAGATATCTCGATAGCATGGATTACTACCGTAAAGCATTTCCTCAAACAATATATTACGTTACAAAAAGAACGTTCCAAATTTCGCATTCGTACATATTTTAATATATGAAAAATTATAATATAATATAAAACTCTATAATTGTAAATTTATAAATATGCATAGTAGTTAAGAAATAAATAAAATTTAGTAGTTTCCGTTTTCATAATTCAATTTTTAATTTTATATTTGACCCTTGACTTTCAAATTTTCAATTTGCCAATTTGAATATTTTTCTACGAATTTAGAGAATACATTGCGATATTGCTATTTTAATTGAGAGCAATGTGCACCGTGCAAAATGAACATGACGCTAGATAGATAGCAACTCGATTTTTCGTGAATGTTCGTTGGCTAAAGCACTTGGGATGCATGGATAATATATGAGTATTCCCTCAGGAATGCCGGAAGCTGTGAGATGGGTGTACGTGATCGCTCGGTTAGGTATTGGACTACCGCTGTTCTACATATATTACATATCCATATAAATGACGGATTAAAATATTTCGAATTTATATTGTCGTCAAGACAGAATTCTATATCAAACATATGTCTTATATTTATACATTCTCATGTTTGATTCGTCACATACAGGTACTTATTTGAGTAAAATTAGAAATAAGATACAAAAACTAGTTATTCTAAACAAACAAATGAAATATTATAATTAAGATTTTACAATATGCTTGGATTTGTTGAAAAAACGGTATAGAAATTATTTAAAACTATGTATTAAAAAAATAAGTTAAACTTACTTAACAATTTTTAGTTACAAATTTAAGAATTTTCGACTATAATAATAAAGGAACACAAAATGTCCTTTTCTGATTAATAAGCTTGATTTAAAATATATCTAACAGACTATAAAAAACACGTCTTTTCTTATGAAATGCTTTCTCGCACGTTAATAGAGTGAAAGCCTTCCTAGAAAAACATCGATTTTTTTCTTTCTGAGTGAGTATATCTCTAAATCATCAAAAATAAAAAAAATGTTTTAGATAAACGAGAGAGAGAGAGAGAGAGAGAGAGAGAGAGAGAATTAAATAATTTTATTAGAATATAATATAAAAACTCTCTGAATAGTTTTAACTTTAACATCAAAAATTTTTTTTAGTAAAAAATATTTTATTTAAAATCGTAAAAAATGTTTATTAAATGCATGTTTCAAGAGAATTTTATAATGATAAAAAAAATTTTAATTTTTTATTTCAATAAATGTATAAATAAAAATTGTTTTATTTATAAAGATACAAAATCTTAATAATTGCTATAAAATACTCTTAAAACTCTTATTCATTTTTTATTTAGAATATTTTTAAATGAAAGTGTAAAAAAATGTTGTAAATAAAAGATAAATTGATTTCAAGAGTATCATAAAAATAATAAAAATTTTTTAACATAGATAAAATGTTTTGATTAAAAAAACTTTTTTATTTATCATATTCAAAACTTATAAAAATCGGACAAATATATTTTTGGTGTTCTTGTAACTTATGTTCTCTTGATTTTTAAAATATCTACGAGAAGAGATCATAAATACAATGAACTGAACAATATCGTCTGCTTGTTTGATTTTATATAGTGGGTCAGAACCTGACGGTTAAGACCCTTTCTCGAAAAAGTTAACGTTGAAACATCTCTTATGTTCGCAATTAATGGTTCGTGCTGCCTCAAATTTATATACTCCTTGGATCGATTTTATTCACGGGAAAGTACGCCATCTAGTAACAAGTTATGGTACAAAAATTCATGCTGTAAGAGCGAACTCGATAAGAATAGGAGTAGGGATAAACGCTTTTTAGCTCGTGCCGCGGGCACGTGCAGCAAGGCAGAGCCTTTCATTTTTACTTCTCTTTGAATCTTTTTAAAATATTACACACTTTCCTGAGATACATATAAATACATCACGAGAGCACGTATTTCCTACGTCAAATTCAACATTTTTGTGCTCAGTCTTTTGGCAAAAATTGTATAATCTACTATTCGTAACGCTGAGTGAGTTCTAAATATATTCGAAAACAAGGTTGACAATGTTAAACGACGTCTTTCACGTCGTTAGTTATACGACCGACAGCTGTTACGTAGACAAACAGCGCAGAAAAAAAATCGAATTACATCATCGTTTTGCCGACGTCCGTTTTGTTTAAAGATGTATAAAATTGACCGATTATGCTGTTATATATAGATTGAATGTGTTATTATACCAACTGATTATGTATTATATAATTATACGTCGAATATATAATTATAAATTAACAAATGTATCCTTTGTTGTAAATGTAGCCTTGTCAAAAAAGGAAACGTAGACTTAGACTGTAACAGGCAGTGCATTATAAACTTTTAAGGTTCTAAATTATGATAAGTCGAGGAGTCATGCCCTAAGAGAACGTACATTTATTTTACAGTAACTATATCTTTGAATCTTTAACACTAGTAGTAAGAGCTTCCAAAGTTTTTGTTGCTAAGATTCTTAGCGCGCAATTCTAAGAGTATTTTAAATGATACTATACCTTTCGCTTGTATATTTGTGCTACAGAAGTATTACCGAAGTTCGTAATGATCCGCGTCGAGCTTATTGAACTTTTCACTGCGGATTTCTTCGATATTAAACGTCTTAAATATAAATTAGCGATACAAAATAAATAGAGTCAATTCTAACTAACATTTTTATCTGTTGCTAAAAAGTTGCCAAAGAAAAAACTTTAAGTTTTCTTAAAAAGAGATAATGTTCTGTAAAAAATTGGAACATTATTTTTTTTAAGAGGGAAGTTAGCGGAGCATTATATATAAAAGAACGAAATTATGCTCAACAATAATGTAGGAATTGATTGCTAATTTGTTGTTTATCGAAATATCCAAGTTTTGAATTTGTTCACACTTATTTCGCAAGTAATGGATTAAAAACTTGGAAATGCATATAGTGTATATTAATGCATATAGTGTATATTAGTAATTCAAGATTGAATTATTTTAAGCATTGAAGATCCAATTTCGATCGTAATAGGCATTTTAAATTTCTAATATGATTGTGTTTCTCACATATACAGTCTAAAATAAAAATTCTTAATATTGTTTGAATATTTCGACTATAACAAATTAATAACAAA